AACCATGACAGACCACATATGGACCAATATACTAGCCCCCCTTAAATCAGGGATAATCACAGATTGCACTACAGACCCCTACCCTACCTTCCTCTTAGCAAACATTAGTAAACCACCACCGGAATACAACAAGGTTTCATTTAGACTCCATGACGAGGCCTCAATAAGGAAGTTCACCGCAGACCTAGAGACTGTTGACTGGCCTACAGAATTCTCCAAGGCCAATGGTACTGACGATTGGAGAGACATTTTTCTTAACAAATTACTTAGACTATACAACAAACATTGTCCAATAAAAACGAAACAAATCACGAATAAATGGCATGGTTGCCCATGGCTAACCAGCAGCATTCTGATAAGGAACACCAATATGAAAAGCAATATAGACAGGGCTTAATACATAAAGATATTCTTAAACACTATTCACCAGTTCTCACCGAAGTAATAAAGAAAGCCAAACAGCTGTACTACTCCAGCAGATTCACTGACACAAGAGGAGCCATAAAAAAGACCTGGAAAACACTCTCTCAGATTATGGGCACCCACAAACTGAAAAAAACAAGAATATTGTCCTAACTAAACCTAATGAAACACCACTGCATCCCACTGAAACAGCTAACAAGATAAACGACTTCTTCTCAACCATAGGATCTAATCTCGCCAGTAAAATCCCACGTACCAACGCCCATGCCAGGGACTATCTAGATGGGAATTTCCCAAATTCCTTCTATCTTGTTCCAACTGAATCCACCGAAGTCACTGAGATTATAGTCACTTAAAAATAACTCAGGGAACCTGTCTCATGTCCCACCATTATTGTACAAGCGAGCGACCCATGTCCTTTCGCATGCCATTTCATTACTTATTAACAAGTCACTAGAAACTAGCACCTTCCCGAAACTACTCAAGACAGCAGAGGTTGCACCAATACATAAAGGTGATGACCCTACAGATGTAAACAACTATAGGCCAATATCAAACTCACCATTGCTATCCAAAATCTTCGAGAAACTCGTGAACAGGAGACTATATTCATTTATAACGGCACAAAACATACTCAACCCCTGCCAATCTGGATTCAGGAAAAATAAAAGCACTAATGATGCAATTGTAAAAATGCTAGATCTGCTTTACACAGCATTGGAAAATAAGGAATATCCACTAGGAATTTTTATTGACCTAAGAAAAGCTTTTGACACAGTAGACCACGGCATCCTACTCCACAAACTTGACCATTATGGTATAAGAGGCCATGCGCTTGCATATTTCAAATCCTATCTTACTAATAGGTATCAGTATGTCACCACTAAAGACTCAGCATCATCAACACAGCCACTTGATACTGGAGTTCCGCAGGGAAGTGTCCTTGGACCCCTGCTCTTCCTCATTTACATCAATGATCTTCTAAACCTATCCCAACACCTGAAACCCATTCTCTTTGCTGACGACACGACTTATGTCATCTCTCACCCTAATCTTGCCTCCCTCAACACCATTGTTAATGAGGAGCTGCTCAAAATATCAACTTGGATGGCAGCCAATAAACTTACACTTAACACTTACAAAACCTACTATATTATGTTTGGTAGCAGAGCAGGTGCTGCGCAACTTAACATTAAGATCAACAGCACTCTAATTGCCAGACATAATGAGGGCAAATTCCTAGGCCTATACCTTGACAACAACCTGAATTTCAGCACCCATATCCAAAACACATCAAAAAAAATATCCAAAACAGTTGGGATCCTCTCCAAGATATGATACTACGTACCGCAAAATGCCCATCTCACACTATACCATTCACTCATTTATCCATACCTCACCTATGCTATTTGTGCTTGGGGATCAACTGCAGCAATACACCTAAAGCCAATAATAACTCAACAAAAAGCTGCAATAAGAATAATCACTAATTCCCATCCCTGGCAACACACCCCCCAACTCTTCATAGATCTAAACTTACTCCCTGTTCAGAACATCCACACTTACTACTGTGCAATCTACATATACAGGACCTTAAATTCCAATATTAACCTTGACCTAAAATGCTTTCTTGATAGTTGTGACAGGACCCACAGGCATAACACCAGACACAAACATTTCTACGACATTCCTCGTGTCCGAGTAAACCTTTATAAAAACTCAATGTATGTCAAAGGCCCTAAAATCTGGAACACTCTACCTGAAAACTCTAGAACAACAGACACATTCATCACCTTCAAAACTACTGTTAGAAACATCTTATCTCTGTGATACCCCCCATCAACTAACTACATAAAAACCACCTGGTGGTCCACATTTACACTCACTCATTCACCCATTTGACTATAAGCACAGAAATACGTATCCTATTCTTAAAATAATGATTCCTAACTAGTCATAAGTTTGCCTGTGATACTCCAATATAGAAACTATGCATTGTGCCAAAACAAAAGCATTCACATTGCTAAACTCACAAACTAATATTTGTCACTTAGTATTTAGTCACTTAGTATTTAGTCAACTTACTCCACAATTTGTTATAATTTAGGGTTAAGAATTAATCTAAGTTTGCCCGAAATGCCTAGCCATGCTAGGTGTTCTAGTGGCCCCCTCTGTAATTAGTATTTTACTACATGTAAACTACACAATAACCAAAATCTGTAAACCCTGCATTGTAATCCTTATAGAGAATAAACTTTGATTTGATTTGATTTGATCATGCAACCTAATGCAAGACAAAACCCACCCCCACTCTTCAAAGACCTTAACCTACTTACTGTACAGAACAATCACACCTACTACTGTGCAACCTACATTTACAGAACTGTAAATTCTAATATTAACCCTGAACTAAAACACTTTTTTGATAGTTGCAACAGGACCCACAGACACAATACCAGACACAAAAATCTCTATGACATTCCCAGTGTCCAGCTAAACCTCTACAAAAGTTTGATGTACATAAAAGGGCCTAAAATCTGGAACTCCCTGCCTGAAAACTCTAGAACTGCAGACTCAACCACCATTTTCAAAACTACCATTAAAATACATCTTATCTCCCTAACACACCCCATCATCAACTAACCAAATGAAAACCACCTAACTCTCTTTTTTATATCATGAATACATTCAAAACAATAAAGTCTTACTTTTGTTATCTGTAATTCCCCCTAATTTACACTTATGCCCACTATAAACATAAAATTCCTAATATAGCTATTGCCTATTAAATCTTAAGTTAGTACTAAGTTTGCCTAAGATACTCGTCCAATACATGAGCTTTAATAGAAACAGTGTATCATGCCAAGACAAATCCAATCCCATTACTAAATTTACCATTCGTAATATTGTTATATGTTTTGTACTACCACACTATTATAAATCTAATTATGTATATTTTTTTTTTTTTTCAACAAGTTGGTCTTCTCCCACCGAGGCAGGGTGACCCAAAAAAGAAAGAAAATCATGTATATACCTAAATTATGTATATACCTAATTATATACATATTTAATTATGTATGTATCTAATAATGTATGTTAAAGTGTACTACTCCATAACCTTTATCAATATAGAGTAAGAATTAGCATTAGTCTTCCTGAAATGCCTAGGCATGCTAGTGGCCTTCTTTGAAATTAATATTTTATAACATGTAAACCACACACTGTAAGCTTCAAAGGAAATAAACTTTTTTCATTTTTATTTTCATAAACAAAGCCTGAAACTTGCTGTTTTCATCCAGTCTTATCCCTGTTTTTCTTGTTTTGGTTTTCATTCAACACCCATATATTATTAGATAATAATAATAAATAATATAATAATAATAATAAAATTTTATTTCTTTGCTAATGTTACAATGTGTGTTTACATTTCATAATTTTATTTGTTACAAAGAAAGCCGCTATTATGCCAAGACATTTCGGGCAGACTTATCCTAATACTTATAGACTACTTAAGTCTAGACAGGTGAAGAGTGAATGAATATAAATATTCAATATTTCACTCTATTATTAATATGAGGTAGTACAATTAGTGATACAAACATACATTTTTAAGTTTCCAATAATGGCTTAATAGTTAAGGGATAATAAAACATTTGGGAGAGTTGCTCTGAATTTGGTTAGGGTTTAGCATAGTGTGGGTATGGTTGTTATTTTGAGATGAGATGATTTTTGAGTATAGTCCTGAACTGATTTGTGGGCACAGGACCTCTTGCTCTTTCAGGCAAAGAGTTCCAGATCTTCGGGTCCTTTATGTGCACCACATTTTTGCATAGTGCGAGACAGACACGAGAGATGTCAAAAAGTGTTTTGTGCCTTGTGTTATGCCAGTGTTCTGTTGAAGCTGTCTAGGAGAAGCTCGAGTGAAGGGTTGATACTGGAGTTTAATGTTCAGTAAATATAACAGGCACAATAATAAGTATGTACATTATGCATAGGAAGGAAGACGGGGTAGGGGTCATCCTCGAAAAGGATGTTTTGTGGGCGAGCGAGGGGCTTACATTTTCAGCAAGCATGTGTGAGCGTGTTAGATAGGAGTGAATGGAGACGAATGATTTTTGGGACCTGACGAGCTGTTGGAGTGTGAGCAGGGTAATATTTTGTGAAGGGATTCAGGGAAACCGGTTAGCTGGACTTGAGTCCTGGAAATGGTTTGGGAGATTGACAGTTTGGAGGGACTTCTAAACTGTCATATCTGGGCACCTCTGCAAAGATAGTGATTATGAATGAGTGAGGTGAAAGTGTTGAATGATGATGAAAGTATTTTTCTTTTGGGGGATTTTCTTTCTTTTTTGGGTCACCCTGCCTCAGTGGGAGATGACAGACATGTTGAAAAAAAAAATAATAATAATGTCACATTACTGTGGGTGGAACAAATCACAAATAACCCACACTCAGGAGAAGAAACTTATGACAAGTGAAGTTTTAGTGCATCCAGCACCACTGTCAAGTCACAAAAGAGCAAGAAGAGAAATTTATAAGAAAATGCCAGTAAAGGGATTCATTTCCTTTTCATCTACCTATGCAGTTTTCAGTGAAATACCCATTGGGTTCACCATCATCCCAGTTGAAGTATGCAGCAGGTGTGCCATCCATCCATCTAGCGCCATCAACATCGTTCTTCATGCCCAGCCATAATGATGTCTGGCTCAGGTGCTGCCTAGTCACCAGATCTGTAAAACAATACCTGTATTAAATACATTAACTGAGCTCCAAAATAATAATACAGTAACTAAAATCATGACTAATTGCTAAAATCCTAACTAATTACTGAAATAATAAAAAATTATTGAATTCATAACTAATTACTAACATCACAACTATTTACTGAAATCATAACTAATTATCAAAATTACTAAGATCATACCTAGGTACTAAAATAGTAACTAATTACTAAAAACATCATAACTACTAAAAACATAACTAATTACTGAAAGTATAACTTTCTAAAAAATAACTAATTATTAAAAGCATGTAACTAATTGCTGAAATAACTGCTAATAACTTAAATATTACAGAAGCATTTCATTGTTCTTTACTCTGTAAAGGTACTAAGGGTGGCAGCACCTTCATCTTACAACTCAAGAACCCGGGTTTGACCCTGGGGTCAGGGGAGAAATGGACATGTTTCCTTACAACTGTTGTCTCCCTCTTCACCTAGCAGCAAATAGGTACACTTGGGTGTTAGGTGATGGGTGTGGCTCACATCTGGAGGAACAAAACACTGACAGGTTTCTAGGAATACTCTGGATTACTAACCCTCTAGGTTCATAACTGAATAAATTAAGATGTTAAGGTGGTCAGTACCTCATGATCACCTCAAAACTACTTCTACAAAGCCAAAGAACTTAACATATTGAAAATACTTCTTCAAGACTAAGGGACTGATCATCTCGAAACAACCTCTTCATAACCAAGTTACTAACCACCCCAAAACTACTTCTTTGAGGCTAAGGAGCTGATCACCTTAAAACTACTTCTTGAAGACTGAGGGACTGATCACCTCAAAACTACTTCTTCAAGGCCAAGGGACCGATCACTTTAAAACTATTTCAAGGCTAAGGAACTAATCACCTCATTTTTACCTTAACATTGCTTCTGCTGTCCCAATAGTTATTCACCTCTGTATTCCACTGAATAAGACTGCAGAGCAGGTGAAGCATTTCAACAATAAGGATACCCAACTGGTGCATGTCTAACTTATCTTCTTTTCGGTATTATTTGACGTTAATATAATGAGAGTTTATGTTGCAGAAAAAGCTCTTTTTTGGGGCAACATTTCACCCTATGTTGAGAATATCAAATTATGCTTGTTCTGCCACCTGTTTTTTCATCATCACTTTTCTCAGTATGCTATTTGGTTCCAAGGACAAGACTACTTTTTTAATCAAGGCCCAAGAAAACTAGACTGTATATTTCTCTGGCTGTGTGATCCAAGCAAGGTATGTCCATACTGTATAACTCCAGTCAGTCCCCAGTACCTTAATGATCCAAGAAAGGCAAGTACTGTACATACTGCATAACCCCAGTCCCCTGTACCTCAAAGTATGAGACAGCAATAGTGCAGAGTGCAACATAAGTTTCTAACGCAGTTAAATATTAGCACTGAAAATTTGAAACAAACCAAGAGAGACCTTAACAAGTTATCACACACTTTTAATAAATCTATAACTGGAACAAAAATGCTCCTCACAAATACACAAGAAGAGTATTGTTCACTTAAATGCATTTAGTCTACACATCTGCTACTCTTCCATAAATCTTGTTCCTCTGCAGTCCTACTTTCTGTTTTACCCATAATGCTTTTGATAATAATCCTACCATTATTATTATTATTATTATTAGTAGAAGTAGTACATGAAAAGTTGCACTCGTGTAGGTCAGTAAGCACAAGGAGCATTAGAGGTTCGATCCTCAGTTGGCTATAGCATCACATACTACTGCTACTTCCATCTCACATCCTTCAATAAGCACAAACCATGAGTACTGTGACAGGATGAAATTTCAAGAGGAAAAAAAGTAAGAATGTAAGATAAATCAAAATTTATGCTAAGAAATAATAAAAACCACATTTGTTTTTAAATAGGCATGTGAGGCTACTTAGGTTACATTAAGTTACTTTTGGGCAGGTTAGCATAGGTGATGGTAGGGGAGAGGAGGTTAGGCTAGATAAAAGTTTCTTTCTTGTAATTTAAAGTCACAATACCATCCTTGGAACAAATCATAAATAAGCCATATTTAGGAGAGGAAACCTATGATGAGGTTTCAGTTCATCCTGGAATATTATCAAGCACAGAAATACATATCTTAATCTTAAAATAATGATTCCTAACTAGTCACAAGTTTGCCTGTGATACTCCAATATAGAAACTATGTATTGTGCCAAAACAAAAGCATTCACATTGCTAAACTCACAAACTAGTATTTAGTCACTTAGTATTTAGTCATTTAGTATTTAGTCAACTTACTACACAATTTGTAATAATTTAGGGTTAAGAATTAATTAATCTAAGTTTGCCCGAAATGCCTAGCCTTGCTAGGTGTTCTAGTGGCCCCCTCTGTAATTAGTATTTTATTACAAGTAAACCACACAATAACCAAAATCTGTAAACCCCGCATTGTAATCCCTTATAGAGCATAAACTTTGATTTGATTTGATTTGATTTGAAGAGCCAAATGTCAAGAGCAACTCACCATAGACAAAAGTTTGTTCTTGGGATGAGTAGATGGAGATGAGGTCTGGCTTGGACTGGCCACTGTAGTAAAATAGTTCTGTGCAGTGGGAACGAGCATCAGCGAAACTTAACTCCTCCAGCTCCAGACGGTAGCACTCTCCAGTCACCGGATTTTCTGTCCAATCTATGCCACATGCTGAGGCTGAGGATAATATAAAAGTGTCACACATGTGGAGGACTGGCATATAAGAGTACAGTGGCTCCCTGGCCAATGAGTGATGAAGAATAGGCTTAAATGTCTTTGATCTATGTATGAAAAACTATTCATGTCTGTAATATTCGACATTACTGAAAGGCAATACGTACTCTATAAATATCTAACCCTCATGAAACGGTTTGCTAATGGGAATTTAAAGTCTATAGAACACACAAGGGTGATTATGGCTGTATGTCACCTGCTCGCCACCAGTCAAAAATGCTTTAATCCCTTATAAAGGGATTAAAAAACCTTAAAGAATATATTCAATGAGAGATATGTACTTCTTGGAGTACAGTGGACCCCCGGTTCGCGAAGCTAACGGTATCCGATAAATTCGGTAGCCGATGCATTATACAGTGGACCCCCGCATACCGCACGCATCGCATACCGTACAATCCACATACCGCTCGCTTTTTTCGCAAAAATTTTGCCTCGCATACCGCCCAAAAACCCGCTCACCGCCCTTCGTCCGAGACGCGTCCAATGTGCGGCCTGAGCCACTCTCACAAGTTCCACCGGTGGCATTGTTTACCAGCCAGCCTCCGCGGTAACATCCAAGCATACAATCGGAACATTTCGTATTATTACAGTGTTTTTGGTGATTTTTTCTGGAAAATAAGTGACCATGGGCCCCAAGAAAGCTTCTAGTGCCAACCCTACAGCAATAAGGGTGAGAATTACTATAGAGATGAAGAAAAAGATCATTGATAAGTATGAAAGTGGAGTGCGTGTCTCCGAGCTGGCCAGGTTGTATAATAACCCCAATCAACCATCGCTACTATTGGTGGTACAGCTGCTGCTTTACCACCGTCAGCTGCTGCTGCACTGTCAGCTGCTGCTGCACTGTCAGCTGCTGCTGCACTGTCAGCTGCTGCTGCACTGTCAGCTGCTGCTGCACTGTCAGCTGCTGCTGCTGCTGTAGCATCGTCTGCTGCTGCTGTAGCATCGTCTGCTGCTCCTGTAGCATCGTCTCCCTGCTGCTGTAGCATCATCTGCTGCTGCTGTAGCATCGTCTGCTGCTGCTGTAGCATCGTCTGCTGCTGCTGTAGCATCATCTGATGCTGCTGTAGCATCGTCTGCTGCTGCTGTAGCATCGTCTGTTGCTGCTGTAGCATCGTCTGTTGCTGCTGTAGCATCGTCTGTTGCTGCTGTACCCCCGTCAGCTGCTGCTGCTGCTGTAGCACCGTTGTTGGTGTGGCTTATTGAGAATACCAAGAAACAATTAACCCCAGAGGATTTGCCACCCAGGATAACCCAAAAAAGTCAGTGTCATCGAAGACTGTCTAATTTATTTCCATTGGGGTCCTTAATCTTGTCTCCCAGGATGCAACCCACACCAGTCGACTAACACCAGGTGAACAGGGAAAAATGCCTAGAACTAGTGCTCATTTTGGGTGAATTTAAAGCCAGCAAAGGTTGGTTTGAGAGATTTAAGAATTGTAGTGGAAATACACAGTGTGATAAGGCCTTTTCTGGGAAGAAAATGCCAAACAGGACCTACAGTACTCAGGGGGGAAAAGGCACTCCCAGGACACACTGTCTCATCAGTCATTGCTGCTTCTTCAATAAAGGTAAGTGTCATTTATTCTTCATTTAGTAGAGTAGTACATGCACAATATATATTGTGCATGTACTACTCTACTATTGTGCATGTATCCTTCTCTTTGTGTGTAGGAAAATGTATATTTCATGTGGTAAAAAAATTTTTTTCATACTTTTGGGTGTCTTGCACGGATTAATTTGATTTCCATTATTTCTTATGGGGAAAATTCATTCGCATACCGAACATTTCGCATAACAATCAGCCCTCTTGCACGGATTAAGGTCGCTATGCGGGGGTCCACTGTATAGCCAAAAATTTGCCTCTGTTCTCGTTACAAAACCCAGTATGCGATGCGATTCGTACGAGACGTGTCCACACGTGGCCTGAACTGCCCCGTGTGTGCCAGTGTTTACAAGGAAGCCAGTGCGCGCGCATCTAAGGATACATTCGGTATATTCCATATTATCACTGTTTTTGGTGCTTGTTTCTGCAAAATAAATCGCCATGGGTCCCAAGAAAGCTTCTAGTGCCAACCCTGTGGTAAAAAGGGTGAGAATTAGTATGGAAATTAAGAAAGATTTTGAAGGGTTTGGGGCTAACCCTGAGAAGCCTATGCCAGTTGTGGAATCCATTGTGCCTACTTCAAAGATTAAGGAAATGTGTGCAAAGTGGGTTGAACTGCAAACCTTTATGGATGAAAATCACCCTAACACAGCTATTGCAAGCTGTGCTGGTGATTGTTACAATGACAATGTTGTGGCCCATTTTAGACAAATCTTAAAGGAACGGGAGGTACAGAGCTCTATGGACAGATATGTTGTGCGACAGAAGTCTAGTGACTCTCAAGCTGGTCCTAGTGGCATTAAGGGAAGTAACCCCGGAAAAGGACTTGCTACCTCAAGTCCTAATGGAGGGGGATTCCCCTTCTAAACAATAGGTTCAACACTCTCCCCTTCTCCCATCCCATCAATCATCACCAGATCTTCATTAAAGGTAAGTGTCAATTATTCTATTGTTATTGTTGTTATTGTAATTATTCTATTGCATTAATGTTTCATGTGGTAAAAGTTTTTTTTTTCATACTTTTGGGTGTCTTGCATGGATTAATTTGATTTTCATTATTTCTTATGGGGAAAATTGATTCACTTTACGATAATTTTGGTTTACGATGAGCTCTGAGGAACGGATTAATATCGTGAACTGGGGGTCCACTGCATATGACTAATCAACCTCAGGGAAACTGGGGGAAGGGGGGTGTTTTTTAATGTTTTTTTTTTTTAATTGTTCCTGAGTATTTTAGCTTTATGCAAAAGTATTTACTGTTTTGTTTGTGATTATCATAACTGGTTTATACAGTGGTCCCTCGATAATCGTAGGGCTTGATAGTCATAATTTTCGGAAATCGTAATGATATTTTCGTCAAAACATAGACTCGCTAATCGTAGATTGACTCGAGAATAGTCATTCGTCCGGGACGCGTACTCGCGCTCTGAGCCGCCCCGGCTCCCAACCAGTGAGCGACGGTCTCCTCACTTGCTCATACGAAATATTTCATAATACAGTGGACCCCCGGTTAACGATATTTTTTCACTCCATAAGTGTGTTCAGATGCCAGTACTGACCGAATTTGTTCCCATAAGGAATATTGTGAAGTAGATTAGTCCATTTCAGACCCCCAAACATACACGTACAAACGCACTTACATAAATACACTTACATAATTGGTCGCATTCGGAGGTAATCGTTATGTGGGGGTCCACTGTATTCCATTCATTTTAGTGCTTGCAACTCCTAAATAAGCTACCATGGCTCCAAAGAAAGCTCCTAGTGCCAAGCCTTTGGTAAAGAAGGTGAGAAATACGATTGAATTTAAGAAAAACATCATTGAACAATATGAAAGTGGCGTACGTATGGCCGAACTGGCCAGGATGTATAACAAACCCCATACAACCATAGCTTCCATCGTGGCCAAGAAAAAGAAAATCAAAGACGCTGTTGTTGCAAAGGGGGTAAATATGCTGACAAAAATGAGATCACCAGTACTCGAAGAGGCTGAGAAGTTATTATTGGTGTGGATAAACGAGAAACAATTAGCAGGAGATACTCTTATGACGTCGATTATTTGTGAAAAGGCTAGGCAGTTGCACGACTAAGAACCGTAGTGACATACACAGTGTGGTAAGGCATGGTGAGGCTGCCAGTTCGGACCACAAAGCGGCTGAAAAATATGTGCATGAATTCAAGGAGAGGCTGAAAGACTGAAACCTGAACAAGTGTTCAATTGTGGCAAAACAGGCCTCTTTTGGAAGAAAATGCCAAAGAGGACCTACATTACTCAGGAGGAAAGGGCACTGCCAGGACACAAGCCTATGAAAGACAGGCTGACGCTCATGTTCTGTGCTAATGCTAGTGGGGATTTCAGAGTGAAGCCGTTACTAGTGTACCATTCTGAAAATCCCAGAGTGTTCAGGAAAAACAATGTTATGAAGAGTAAACTGTGTGTTTTGGAAATCTAATAGTAAGGCATGGGTCACGAGGGAAATTTTCGTCGAGTGGTTCAATGAAGTGTTTGGCCCTAGTGTGAAGAATTACCTCCTGGAAAAGAAATTGGATCTTAAGTGCCTCCTAGTAATGGACTATGCACCTGCTCATCCTCCAAGCTTGGATGACCTAATTTTCAAGGAGTTTGGGTTCATCACTGTAAAGTTCTTGCCCCCGAATACCACTCCTCTCCTCCAGCCCATGGACCAGCAGGTCACTGCAAACTTTAAAAAAATCTACACCAAATCAATGTTTCAAAGATGCTTGAATGTGACCTCAGACACTCACTTAACCCTAAGAGATTTTTGGAGAGAACACTTCAGCATCCTCCATTGCATAAGCCTTACCTTATAGGTAAGGCTTGGGAGGAAATGACTACCAGGACTTTGAACTCTGCTTGGAGAAAACTGTGGCCAGATTGTGTCCACAAGAGGGATTTTGAAGGGTTTGGGGCTGACCCTGATGAGCCTATGTCAGTTGTTAAAACTATTGTGGCACTGGGGTGTTCCATGGGGTTGGATGTGAGTTTGGAGGATGTGGAAGAGTTGGTGGAAGACCACAACGAAGAGCTCACCACTGAGGAGCTGCAAGAGCTTCAGCAGGAACAGCAACAGATCGCAGCTCAGAATCTTGCTGCAGAGGAGGAGGATGAGAGATGGAAGAAGTTGCCTTCTTCAGAAATTAAGGAGATTTTTGAAATGTGGGGTAAGATGGAAAGATTTATGGAGAAAACTTACCCTGACAAGGCTGTTGCAAGCCATGTTGGAAACATGTACAGTGACACAGTCTTAGCCCATTTTAGGGAAGTGTTAAAGAGACGCCAGAAACAGAGCTCTCTGGACAGTTATTTCGCGACAGGACTCCAGTGACTCTCAAGCTGGTCCTAGTGGCATTAAGAAACAGAGAAGAGAAGTAACCCCAGAAAAGCAATTGGTACCTGAGGTGTTGATGGAAGGGGATTCCCCTTCCAAACTGTAAATAATCCAATCTCTCTCCTCCTCCAGTCTTCCATACACTAAGAAGAATTGCCAATAAAGGTAACTGTTATGCTGTTAATGTTTCATTCATCATGTCCCATTGTATTGTTTATGTACTACATCTATATTTCACGTAAAAAAAACTTTTGTTTTAGTGCTTCTGGGTGTCAGGAACGGATTAATTGTATTTACATTATTTCTTATGGGGAAAATTGATTCGAAAATCGTAAATTTCGATAATAGTAACACTTCCAGGAATGGATTATTTACGATAAACGAGGGACCACTGTATTTATAAAGGCTATATACTGTCCATGAGTGCATCTACCTTTTTATGGACACAATCTCTAAGTGCTCTGTAAATGGTAGACAACGACATAATCCAACAAGCGGAAATTTGAAAGATCATCTTACCAGAGAAAACTTTAACTATAGAACATTTCACCCACAGTAGGGATTACTCAGTACAGGTTTTATTTATTTTTATTTATTTATTAATTTGAACACGATACAGAGAAGTACAAAGGAATACAGTTATTAAAGTGCAACATGGCAAAGCCCCTTGTATGCAGAGCATTATGGGCAGGCTTAAAATTAACTTAAGATTAACTAAGCAATGATATATTCAGTGGTAAAAACATTATTGTAAACAGATAACAATTTAGCACAAATGAATATTACAAAGGCAGGTCATATGGTTATTTACTGTGTTGCTGTGCATTCAGTAGAATGGAGTATTCTGTTAGGTAATGTAATTAAAAAATAACAAAGTTTGATTGGGTCACAGGTTAGACATTTATGAGATAAAATAATGAGAAACATTTATGATATTTATGTTATTTTCATATAGTCGGACTTGAGTCCTGGAAATGGGAAGTACAATGCCTACACTTTAAAGGAGGGGTTTGGGATATTGGCAGTTTGGAGGGATATGTTGTGTATCTTTATATGTTTATGCTTCTAGACTGTTGTATTCTGAGCACCTCTGCAAAAACAGTGATAATGTGCGAGTGTGGTGAAAGTGTTGAATGATGATGAAAGTATTTTCTTTTTGGGGATTTTCTTTCTTTTTTGGGTCACCCTGCCTCGGTGGGAGACGGCCGACTTGTTGAAAAAAAAAAAAAAAAAAAAAAAAAAAAAAAAAAATTATGAGATACAATTTATGAGATACAATTATTCAGTATTTATTTAGTTGTGGGTGAGTAAGTGATTTTTGAGAAGAGACTTGAATTTATAAACAGACAGTGTTTCTTTTATATTCACAGAAAATGAATTCCAGATTTTAGGGCCTTTTATGTGCATTGAGTTTTTGCATAGCGTGAGATGGACACAAGGAACATCAAAGAGTGATCTGTGCCTTGTGTTATGGTCATGTGTTCTGATGAGGTTGGTAAGGAAATGTTTGAGGGGAGGGTTTATATCAGAGTTAAGTGTTCTATGTATGTAATAGGTGCAGTAATAAGTATGGAAGTTTTGTATGGTGAGTAGGTTTAGAGTTTTGAATATTGGTGGAGTGTGCTGCCTGTAGTGGGAATTTATCATCATTCTGACTGCAGCCTTTTGTTGGGTAATTAGTGGTCTGAGATGGTTTATTGTTGTTGAGCCCCATGCATAGATTCCATAGGTGAGATAGAGGTAAATAAGTGAGTGATATAGGGCCAGGAGGGCTGACTGTGGAACATAGTACTGTATCTTTGATAGTATGCCTACGGTCTTGGAAATTTTGGGGGGAAATTTGTTGTATTTAATATACCTTTCCTGTGGGATCAGTGTAAAGTATTAAAGACTTTTTTCCTGCTAAAAGTGCATTTGGAATTACAGTGGTCCCCCGACCTACGATATTAATCCGTTCCTGAGAGCCCATCGTAAGACAAAAGGATCGTATGTTGAATTAATTTTCCCCCATAAGAAATAATGGAAATCAAATTAATCCATGCAAGACACCCAAAAGTATGAAAAAAAAAACTTTTACTACATGAAATATACATTTTCCTACACACAAAAAGAAGGATACATGCACAATAGTAGAGTAGTACATGCACAATATATATTGTGCATGTACTGCTCTACTAAATGAAGAATAAATGACACTTACCTTTATTGAAGATGCAGCAATGACTGATGAGACACTTCCTGGAAGTGCCTTTTCCTCCTGAGTAATGTAGGTCCTGTTTGCCATTTTCTTTCAGAACAGGCCTTATCACACTGTGGATACCACTACGATTCTTAAATCTCTCAAACCAACCTTTGCTGGCCTTAAATTCACCAATATGAGCACTAGTTCCTGGCATTTTTTCCTGTTCACCTGGGTGTTAGTTGACTGGTGTGGGTCGCATCCTGGGAGACAAGATTAAGGACCCCAATGGAAATAAGTTACAGTCTTCAATGACTCATTGACTTTCTTGGGTTATCCTGGGTGGCTAACCCTCTGGGGTTAATTATTTCTTGGTATTCTCGATAAGCCACACCAACAATGGTGCTACAGCAGCAGCAGCAGCTGATGATGCTACAGCAGCAGCAGCAGCTGACGGTGCTACAGCAGCAGCAGCAGCTGACGGTGCTACAGCAGCAGCTGACTGTGGTACAATAGTATTTCAATAATATTTCTCACCCTTTTTACCACAGGGTTGGCATTAGAAGCTTTCTTTGGGCTCATGGTGGCTTATTTAGCAGTTAGAAGCGCTAAAAACACTGGAATAATACAAAATATTCTGAATGTATGCATGGGAGCGACCGCTCTGGTTTGTAAATATTGGCACACTAACTGAAGGCAGGCCAGCTGAGGCGTGCTCAGGTGGACAGACATGTGGACGTGTATCGGACGAATGCTGTAGGTCAAGATCTTCAACATACGTCAGGGTCAAATTTTTACGCTGAAAAGCATCGTAGGTCGGTTTTAATGTAGGTTGGGGACATCGTACATCGGGGGTCCACTGCATTACTTTTGCTGAAAATATTAAAATTTAATTCTATCCATCTAAGAAAAGTGTGTAAAATATTCTAGACAAGCTGCTTAAGTGGAGCTATATATGAAATGAAAGAATAATTAGAAAAAGCTTGGTAAAGCAATTTACCAAGTACAGTAACCTTTGGGTAAATTAAAAATGATGTGATAATTCTTAGCCCAAAATGAGAAACACCATAACAGAAAATCTTTTCTAGCATATATGCAGCTTAACTTCTTTCAATATCTTTAAACTAATTTATTGTGTAATTATTTACTTTATTCTGACTTTACTCTTTAAACTTGGTATTTAGGGTAAGAAAGGTAGTAGCGCCCTGGCTGGGAATCGTGCTGAAGGGCGAAACCCACGAAAATATGCTTCTGGTAAATGACATGAGGTAAGTGCACTTAATGGTGGACCTAAGGGATTGATCACTTCAAAACTACTTTTTCAACTGTCTCCAGTGCTGTATTTGTCTGTATTCACCTGCACAAGTGAAACATTTTAATAATAAAGATATCCAGGTATTACACTTGTTTTATTCATCAACTTCTTGGTACTGAATACCATCAATAATAAGAGCTCTATTTACTGTCTGGCTCAGCAGTGGTGGTGGTTAGTGTGCCAATTGGCGTAGAAGATGCTTTCTTCTTGCAGCTGAATACCAACTGAAGGTCACAGGGAATGTCATTCCACTTGCCTGTGTCCAGCATCTGTGCACAATTCTCACCACCACCAGTAGGCTCACCTGAGAATAAAAGCATCTTAAGCATTAACTAGAAAGTTCCCTGTGATATGGTAATACCATGAGGACCATAAATATGATAAACAATGTGGACTTTGGCATTTTATTGTGACGACATTCCAACTATGAGGGACTTCATTCCTGGAAGAAGTAACATATTAACAATAAAATGCCCCAACCCACATTGTGTCATTTAAATTATGTAACTGTATTTATGTGTATCTTTCTTTTCTTTAACAAGTCAGCCATCTCCCACCACGGCAGGGTGACCCAAAAAGAAAGAAAATCCCCAGAAAGAAAATACTTTCATTCTCATTCAACACTTTCACCTCACTCACACATAATCACTGTTTTTGCAGAGGTGCTCAGAATACAACAGCTTAGAAGCATATACGTATAAAGATACACAACATATCCCTCCAACCCATCAACATCACAAATCCCTCCTTTAAAGTGCAGGCATTGTACTTTCCATTTCCAGGACTCTAAGTCCGGCTATATAAAAATAACCGGTTTCCCTGAATCCCTTCACTAAATATTACCCTGGTCACACTCCAACAGCTCGTCAGGTCCCAAATACCATTCGTTTCCATTCACTCCTATCTAACACACTCACGCACTCTTGCTGGAAGTCCAAGCCCCTCGCCCACAAAACCTCCTTTACCCCCTCCCTCCAACCTTTTCGAGGACGACCCCTACCCCGCCTTCCTTCTCCTAAGATTTATATGCTCTCCATGTCATTCTACTTTGACCCATTCTCTCTAAATGACCAAACCACCTCAACAACCCCTCTTCAGCCCTCAGGCTATTACTTTTATTAACTCCACACCTTCTCCTAATTTCCACACTCCGAATTTTCTGCATAATATTTACACCACACATTGCCCTTAGAGAGGACATCTCCACTGCCTCCAACCGCCTCCTCACTGCAGCATTTACAACCCAAGCTTCACACCCATATAAGAGTGTTGGTACTACTATACTTTCATACATTCCCTTCTTTGCCTCCATAGATAACGTTTTTTGTCTCCATATATACTTTAACGCACCACTCGCCTTTTTTTTCATTCATCAATTCTACGATTAACCTCATCGTTCATAAATCCATCTGCTGACACGTCAACTCCCAAATATCTGAAAACATTCACTTCTTCCATACTCCTCCTCCCCAATTTGATATCCAATTTTTCTTTATCTAAACCATTTGATACTCTCATCACCTTACTCTTTTCTATGTTCACTTTCAACTTTCTACCTTTACACACACTCCCAAACTCGTCCACTAACCTTTGCAATTTTTCTTTAGAATCTCCCATAAGCACAGTATCATCAGCAAAAAGTAACTGTGTCAATTCCCATTTTGTATTTGATTCCCCATAATTTAATCGCACCCCTCTCCCGAACACCCTAGCATTTACTTCTTCTACAACCCCATCTATAAATATATTAAATAACCATGGTGACATTACACATCCCTGAGAAACAAGGCACACCTAAAGTACACTTCCCTACACAACATATCCTTACTTCAACTGTAGAAGAAAGAGACAGTATGCAGAGCAAATCTTTACACTGATGTTTCACTCAGTGTAGTTTCATCATGCTCAATACTAAGCAAAACATCATTCATATGTCTTGCTCTTCATTCTCTCTCTCTGTCTGAAATGGTTTGCACAACAATAGGCTTTCTCAGATTTTGAGTATGCAATACAATGTTTTCCTGAAACTGTAGCAAACCTATAACCATATAAACTGTAAAATCATCTGATGTAACCTTAATGTATTTTAATGAAATAAGCATTTTATCTTTATCTTCTCTAGCTGGCACCACTTCAGAAGTCAACCTCACTTCTACTTCATAATCTCCTTGGAGGCTGTTGTAGAAACTTTCTTATTTCAGAACCAGCTGAAAGGAACAGTCATGACTTGATGACAGTATAGAATGGGCTAAAGCATCAATTACACTTTTATCTCCAAATTATGGGTTACAACCAGTATCAGAATAAGAATTTTTGTTTTAAAAGCATTATTCAAAAAACATTGAAAAGATTAAAGACTGCACAATAATTTGGGCAGTTCCATCAACTTACACTCACAGGCATTCCTAGTTTGTGATAATGACTCGATTTCCCCAGTTCTATCTCAGTTTATATTACACTTAGTTTCGTGGTAGCTTAACCTTACTTACCAACATTCCAGTTTGTGATAGTGACACTAGATCCATCACTCCAGATCCAAGCGTTTTCTGTCTTACGGTCATTTAAACCAATCCAACTTCCACCCTGCTGGTACACTGAAGAAAACAATAGAGAAATGTCATAAAAGTTTTCAGCAAATTTATGTGGGCTGTTCAAGAGAAAAACTAGAGCATGGGACACTGAAATAAAATGAATAACTATGATTTATGAGAAAGTATCAATTTAGGCCAGGTCACTGGTTTTAATTGTGATTTTGAAATAAAGTATTACAGTAAGGTACCATTTCCTTGAGTACCGATGCCAATACAGTGGTACCTCAGGATAAAAACTTATTTCGTTCCAGAACACTGTTCGAGTGCTGATACCGAACGAATTTGTTCCCATAAGGAATAATGTAAATTAGATTAATCCGTTTCAGACCCCCCAAAAATACTTACAAAAGCACTTACATAATTGTTTGCATTTTGAACTGTTCGTATCCCGAGGTACCACTGTACTATATTTTACATTAAAAGTTGAATCTCATTTTGCCTGTTAACAGTATACAGAAATTATTATTATTATTATAATCAAGGGGAAAGCGCTAAACCCATAGGATTATACAGCGCCTGTGTGGGGGATGTAAATGTATTCAGGCTTAATTCAGGGAACTGGACCACAAATCCAATTCCCTAGATCAAGAGCCCTTCATCAGCATTAAGGAACCTTCCTTGAGGGGCAGTATACAGAAAATATTTCTTAAATATAAAGAAATCAAAACTCTTGTGAACTTTTAAGATGCTTGACATACACTTGACAAAGTCTTGTTCTCTCCAGGAGAGGATAGAGACGAGTGTTGAGTCTTGAGAGGCACAGCTGGATGCTGCTGCTGACCATGACATCTCCTGTGTACTGAACATGTAACAGTGGTCACTCTCCTTCTCCCATCCATCTGGGCAGTACCTTTCATCTGTACACATCAAAGAAACAGTTAGTCTCAAGAATTATTATTATAATCATGGGAAAGTGCTAAACCCATAGGATTAAACAGTGCCTGTGGGGGGGGGAGGAATGGAAGGTATTCAGGCTTAATTCAGGGAACTGGAGCACAGATCCAATTCCCTAGATCAAGAGCCCCTCATCAATGTCAAGGAGCCTCTATGCAGTTTACATTTTAATGAGAAGTGATAAAGTCCCTTGTGGATGAAACAACTCAGTAAAATGTCATAAACCACACAGAGTCTAACTAACATACTTGTCAGTATATAATACCAGTGATGGACACAGTAATGAAATAATAAACAACAGACAAACATTTATTAAGACAAAAGAACCAGCATCATTGTACATAGGTAAGATTATTATTATTATTATCAAAAAGAAGTACATGGGTAAGAACCCACTGAATTAAAGAGTTCACCATTACCATGGCGAGGAGTAGCTTGACCTTAACTAGTTACCACTTCATTTAATCTTGTAAAACATCTTGTGAATAAGACCAAAAGAGGGTTAATAATCTAGGTCAGCCCAGGCAGTATTTGTTTGTTTGTTGGGTTTATCAGGTCCACAGACAGCAGTATCGAGACCAGCTTCCCGATGTATGGGGAAGATTTGTTGCCTCAAGCTGGACCATGAAAGATAAATGAACAAGAGTTCCTTAATTCTAACAGATTCACTGTAACAAGAGGAGATATTAAAACGACTTGGAAGACACTTTCTCAGATCCTAGGCACCCACAAAGCGAACAGAACTAGTAATATTTTACTAATTAAATAAATAAACCGAAACTCCAGCCTATTGATACAGCTAACAAGATAAATGACTTCTTCTCAAACATAGGCACCTAAAGGCACCTAAAGGCACCTAAAGTCGGTACCTGACCAGCCCAGCTGGTCAGGTACCGACTTTAGGTGCTTGTCCAGTGCCAGCTTGAAGACTGCCAGGGGTCTGTTGGTAATCCCCTTATGTATGCTGGGAGGCATACATAAGGGGGATTACTCTGGGTCAGCTAGCATTTTTAAAACTACAGTTAGAAAACACCTTATCTCCTTAATCTATTCTAGCCCATCACAAATAAATATGTAAAAACATTACGTGCATTTGCTCAATATCATGAGCCTAGGTAAAACAATATCTGTAATCCTCTCAGATGACACCCAAATTTGCATGACAGTGTCCTCCACTGAAGACACTGCTAGACTCCAGGCGGACATCAACTAAATCTTTAAATGGGCCGCAGAAAACAATATGAAATTCAATGAAGAGAGATTTCAATTACTCTGATATGGAAAACGTGAGGAAATTAAAACTACATCGGAGTATAAAACAAATTCCAACCACACAACAGAGTGAAATACTAATGTAAAAGACCTGGGAGTGATCATGTTAGAAGATTTCACCTTCAAAGACCATAACATTATTAATCGCATCTGCTAGAAAAATGACAGAATGGATAATGAGAACCTTCAAAACTAGGGATGCTAAGCCCATGATGACACTCTTCAGGTCACTTGTTCTATTTAGGATGGAATATTGCTGCACACTAACAGCACCTTTCAAGGCAGGTGAAATTGCTGACCTAAAAAATGTACAGAGAACTTTCACGCACACATAACTTCGATAAAACACCCCAGTTACTGGGAATGTTTGAAGCTCCTAAACCTGTACTTCCTAGAATGCAGGCGGGAGAGATCATGATTATATACACTTGGAAAAATCCTAGAGGGATTAGTACCAAACTTACACACGAAAATCACTCCCTATAAAATCAAAAGACTCAGCAGACAATGCAACATTCCCTCAATGAAAAGCAGGGGTGCCACTAGCACGATAAAAGACAACACAAAAAGTGTCAGGGGCCCAAGACCATTCAACTGCCTCCCAGCATACATAAAGGGAATTACCAATAGAACCCTGGCTGTCTTCAAGAAAGCGCTGGACAGGCACCTAAAGTCAGTACCTGACCAGCCGGGCTGTGGTTTGTAAGTCAGGTTGCATGCAGCCAACAGTAGCAGCCTGGTTGATTAGGCCCTGATCCACCATGACCAGGCCACAGGGGCACTGACCCCTGGAACCCTCTTCAGGTATACTCCAGGTAATAATAATAAAAATATCTTTATTTCTACAAGTACATGTACAAGGTATACAGACCATAGCTGACATCAATAACATACTACTATATAGAAAGCAACTTGTTATGCAAAGTATTTCAGGCAAATTAGGTCAGTTTTGTCCCAGGATGCAACCCACACCAGTCAACTTACACCCAGGTACCTATTTTATACTGATGGGTGAACACAGACATCAGATACCTTAAGGTAACACGTCCTAATGTTTTCCAGCCGTACCAGGGATTCGATCTCCGGACCTCAGTGTGTGAGCTAAGTGCGCTAGCGATTGAGCTACACGACACCGTAATCATTCCACTGTGTCCACCTTAGGTTAATAATCAAAACTGTAATTCTTCTCTACCAAACTTACTAAAGCCATAGAGCATGAACTAATAGAGTACAGTGGTACCTCAGGATACGAACACCTCAAAACTCGAACAATTATGTAAGTGTATTTATGTAAGTGCTTTTGTAAGTGTATTTTTGGAGGTATGAAATGGATTAATCCTGTGGTAGTAGGTTGGTAGACAGCAACCACCCAGGGAGGTACTACTGTCCTGTGGTAGTAGGTTGGTAGACAGCAACCACCCAGGGAGGTACTACCATCCTGTGGTAGTAGGTTGGTAGACAGCAACCACCCAGGGAGGTACTACCCTCCTGTGGTAGTAGGTTGGTAGACAGCAACCGCCCAGGGAGGTACTACCGTCCAGTGGTAGTAGGTTGGTAGACAGCAACTGTCCTGTGGTAGTAGGTTGGTAGACAGCAACTGCCCAGGGAGGTACTACTGTTCTGTGGTAGTAGGTTGGTAGCCAGCAACCACCCAGGGAGGTACTACCATCCTGTGGTAGTAGGTTGGTAGACAGCAACTGCCCAGGGAGGTACTACCGTCCTGTGGTAGTAGGTTGGTAGACAGCAACCACCTAGGGAGGTACTACCATCCTGTGGTAGTAGGCTGGTAGACAGCAACTGCCCAGGGAGGTACTACTGTCCTGTGGTAGTAGGTTGGTAGACAGCAACCACCCAGGGAGGCAGTACCGTCCTGCCAAGTGAGTGTAAAACGGAAGCCTGTAATTGTTTTACATGATGGTAGGATTGCTGGTGTCTTTTTTTTCTGTCTCATACACATGCAAGATTTCAGGTACAAATTGCTACTTCTACTTACACTTAGGTCACACTACACATACATGTACAAGCATATATATACACACCCCTCTGGGTTTTCTTCTATTTTCTTTCTAGTTCTTGTTCTTGTTTATTTCCTCTTACCTCCATGGGGAAGTGGAACAGAATTCTTCCTCCGTAAGCCATGTGTGTTGTAAGAGGCGACTAAAATGCCGGGAGCTAGGGGCTAGTAACCCCTTCTCCTGTATATATTACTAAATGTAAAAGGAGAAACTTTCGTTTTTCCTTTTGGGCCACCCCCGCCTCAGTGGGATACGGCCAGTGTGTTGAAAGAAAGAATAAGATTTGTTTGGATTTTTAACCCGGGGGAGGGTTAGCTACCCAGAATAACTTTAAGCCAGTGAGGCATCAAGGACTGTCTTATTTCTATTGTGGTCCTTCAATTTTGTCACCAGCATGCAACCCACACCAGTAAACTAATATCCAGGTACTTCCTTTTTGCTAAGTGAACAGGGACATCAGGTGCAAGGAAACAACATCAACATTTTCACACATGCCAGAAACTGAACCACGGACACTCAGTATGTGAGGCGATTGCGTTGCCTACCGAGCCACTGGACCTAGATTTATTCTGGAAATCTACAATTAATACACTCAAGGTGTGAAGTGACTAGGAGAGCTTCAGCTGGTGTAAGGAAACTTCTCTATACATCTTGCCCCTTATATCTAACTCGGGGGCTTTCAGTTGTGTGGCGAACATTCTAGCATTGAGGTAGAGTTGAACTACTTACTGGACGGAGGGATCAAGATGACAGGCTGGCCGGCTGGCACCTCGCAGGCATAGTGCCTTGGGATATGACAGTCAGTTGGCACCCACGAAGATATCGGTGTGGTCACGTCAGACTCTGTACAAAAGTGTTCTAGTATTAAAAGGAACTGTTGCCTGACATAAAATCTATTGGTACAGAGGTCATTATATGTGAGAATTTTTTTTTCAAGTTCAACAATTGTAAGTGCATTTTCTTTTAATTAATGGAAAATATTTATTTAAAAATTGGTGATTTTTTAGTCCACATACACACACACACACACACACACACACACACACACACACACACACACACACACAACACACAGCGATCATGTGGTTCTGAGTTTTGACTATATAGTAGAGTTACAAGTGGAGAAGGTAACAGGAACTGAAGGGGACAGGCCAAACTATAAAAGGGGGGACTACACAGGTATGAGAAACTTCCTGCAGGAGGTTCAGTGGGACAGAGAAATGGTAGGAAAATCAGTAAACGAGATGATGGAATATGTGGCAACAAAGTGCAAGGAGGCAGAGGAAAGTTTTGTTCCCAAGGGAAACGGAAATAATAGGAAGACCAAAACGAGTCCTTGGTTTACCCAAAGGTGTAGGTAGGCAAAAACTAAGTGCAACAGAGAATGGAAAAGGTACAGGAGGCATAGGACCCAAGAAAACAAGGAGATTAGTAGAAGACCCAGAAACGAGTATGCACAGATAAGGAGGGAGGCCCAGCGACAGTAAGAAAACGACATAGCATCGAAAGTCAAATCTGACCCGAAACTGCTGTATAGCCACATTAGGAGGAAGACAACAGTCAAGGACCAGGTGATAAGGCTGAGGAAAGAAGGTGGAGAACTCACAAGAAACGATCAAGAGGTATGTGAGGAGCTCAACACGAGATTTAAGGAAGTATTTACAGTAGAGACAGGAAGGACTCTGGGGGACAGACCAGATGGGGACACCAGCAAGGAATACACCAACAAGTGTTGGACGACATACATACAGATGAGGAGGTGAAGAAACTGCTAAGGGACATCGATACCTCAAAGGCAATGGGACCAGACAACATCTCCCCGTGGTCCTTAGAGAGGGAGCAGATATGTTGTGCGTGCCACTTACCACAATCTTCAACACATCCCTGGAAACTGGGCAACTACCTGAGGTATGGAAGACGGCAAATGTAGTTCCCATTTTTAAAAAAGGAGACAGAAAAGAGGCACTAAACTATAGACCTGTGTCATTGACGTGTATAGTATGCAAAATTATGGGAGAAGATTATCAGGAGGAGAGTGGTGGAGCACCTGGAACGGAACAGGAGTATAAATGCCAACCAGCACGGTTTTCACGAAAGGCAAATCCTGTGTCACAAAACCTTCTGGAGTTTTATGATAAAATAACAGAAGTAAGACAAGAGAGAGAGGGGTGGGTTGATTGCATCTTCTTGGACTGCAAGAAGGCCTTTGACACAGTTCCTCACAAGAGATTAGTGCAGAAGCTAGAGCATCAGGCGCATATAACAGGAAGGGCACTGCAATGGATCAGAGAATACCTGACAGGGAGGCAACAACGAGTCATGGTAACGTAATGATGTATCACAGTGGGCCCCTGTGACGAGCGGGGTCCCACAGGGGTGGGGTCCTAGGACCAGTGCTATTTTGGTATATGTGAACGACATGAGGGAAGGGTTAGACTCAGAAGTGTCCCTGTTTGCAGATGATGTGAAGTTAATGAGGAGAATTAAATCTGATGAGGACCAGGCAGGACTTCAAAGAGACCTGAACAGACTGGACACCTGGTCCAGCAAATGGCTTCTCGAATTTAATCCTGCCAAATGCAAAGTCATGAAGATAGGGGAAGGGCACAGAAGACCACAGACAGAGTATAGGCTAGGTGGCCAAAGACTGCAAACCTCACTCAAGGAGAAAGATCTTGGGGTGAGTATAACACCGAGCATGTCTCCGGAAGCACACATCAATCAGATAACTGCTGCAGCATATGGGCGCCTGGCAAACCTGAGAACAGCATTCCGATACCTTAGTAAGGAATCATTCAAGACACTGTACACCGTGTATGTCAGGCCCATACTGGAGTATGCAGCACCTGTTTGGAACCCGCACTTGATAAAGCACGTCAAGAAACTAGAGAAAGTACAAAGGTTTGCGACAAGGTTAGTTCCAGAGCTAAGGGAAATCGGCCTGACCACACTGGAGGACAGGAGGGTCAGGGGAGACATGATAACGACATATAAAATACTGCGTGGAATAGACAAGGTGCACAAAGACAGGATGTTCCAGGGAGGGGACACAGAAACAAGAGGCCACAATTGGAAGTTGAAGACACAAATGAGTCAGAGAGATAGTAGGAAGTATTTCTTCAGTCATAGAGTTGTAAGGCAGTGGAATAGCCTAGAAAATGACGTAGTGGAGGCAGGAACCATACACAGTTTTAAGACGAGGTTTGATAAAGCTCATGGAGCGGGGAGAGAGAGGGCCTAGTAGCAACCGGTGAAGAGGCGGGGCCAGGAGCTAGGACTCGACCCCTGCAACCACAAATAGGTGAGTACACACACACACACACCCCTGCAACCACAATTAGGCGAGTATACACACACACACACTACTTAGTAGGAACAATCCAGTCTGAGGGACATAAGGTGATAATTGCAGTAATGTACAACCCACCACAGAACTGCAGGAGGCCAAGAGAAGAATACGATGAGAGCAACAGAGCAATGGTCGACACACTAGCCGAGGTGGCCAGGAGAGCACACATGGGGGGAGCAAAGTTACTAGTTATGGGTGATTTCAATCACAAGGAGATTGACTGGGAAAACCTGGAGCCCCATGAGGGTCCCGAAACATGGCGAGCCAAGATGATGGATGTGGTACTGGAAAACCTCATGCATCAACATGTTAGAGACACTACCAGAGAGAGAGGAGAGGATGAACCAGCAAGACTGGACCTTGTATTCACCTTGAGTAGTTCTGACATCGAGGATATCATGTATGAAAGGCCCCTGGGAGCTAGTGATCATGTGGTTCTGTGCTTCGACTACATAGTTGAGCTCCAAGTGGAGAGAGCAGCAGGAATAGGGTGGGAAAAAACCAAACTACAAAAGGGGGAACTACTCAGGCTTGAGGAACTTCTTTCAAGACATTCAGTGGGAGAGGGAACTGACAGGAAAACCAGTACAAGAAATGATGGATTATGTGGCAACAAAATGCAAAGGAGGCAGAGGAGAGGTTTGTTCCTAAAAGGGAAACAGAAATAATGGGAAGAACAGAACGAGTCCTTGGTTCACCCAAAGGTGTAGGGAGGCAAAAACTAAGTGTACCAGAGAATGGAAAAGGTACAGAAAAACAGAGAACTCAGGAAAATAAAGAGATTAGCCGAAGAGTCAGAAACGAATATGCACAGATAAGAAGGGAGGCTCAGCGGCATTACGAAAATGACGTAGCATCGAAAGTCAAGACTGACCCGAAGCTGTTTTTACAGCCACATCAGGAGGAAAACAACAGTCAAGGACCAGGTAATCAGACTGAGGAAGGGTGATGGGGAATTCACAAGAAACGACCGGGAGGTATGTCAGGAGCTCAACACAAGATTTAAAAAGTATTTACAGTGGAAACCAGTAGGACTCCAGGAAATCAGAGCAGGGGGTGCACCAGCAAGTGCTGGATGAGGTACATATAACCAAGGAGGAGGTGAAGAAGCTGCTGTGCGAACTTGACACCTCAAAGGCAGTGGGACCAGACAACATCTCTCCGTGGGTCCTTAAAGAGGGAGCAGAGATATTGTGTGTACCGTTAACAAAGATCTTCAACACATCATTTGAAACTGGGCAACTCCCTGAGGTATGGAAGATGGCAAATGTAGTCCCAATTTTTAAAAAGGGAGACAGACATGAGGCACTAAACTACAGACCTGTATCACTAACGTGTATAGTACGCAAGGTCATGGAGAAGATCATCAGGAGAGTGGTGGAGCACCTGGAAAGAAACAAGTGTATAATTGACAACCAGCATGGTTTCAGGGAGGGAAAATCCTGTGTCACAAACCTACTAGAGTTTTATGACAAGGTGACAGAAGTAAGACAAGAGAGAGAGGGGTGGATCGACTGTATTTTTTTGGACTGCAAGAAGGCCTTCGACACAGTTCCTCACAAGAGGTTACTGCAAAAGGTAGAGGATCAGGCACACATAACAGGAAAGGCACTGCAATGGATCAGAGAATACCTCACAGGGAGGCAACAACGAGTCATGGTACGTGACGAGGTGTCAGAGTGGGTGCCTGTGACAAGCGGGGTTCCACAGGGGTCAGTCCTAGGACCCGTGCTGTTTCTTGGTATATGTGAATGACATAAACGGAAGGGATAGACTCAGAAGTGTCCTTGTTTGCGGATGATGTGAAGTTAACGAGAAGAATCAAATCGGATGAGGATCAGGCAGGACTACAAAGAGACCTGGACAGGCTACAAGCCTGGTCCAGCAACTGGCTCCTTGAGTTTAAACCCTGCCAAATGCAAAGTCATGAAGATTGGGGAAGGGCAAAAAAGAACCGAAGATACAAAATAGTTTAAAAGGGCCAAAAAGCCCCTGAAAACCTCACTAAAGGGAAAAAAGGGATTTTGGGGGTGATAAAAAACACCGAGCAAAAACCCCCGAGGCCACATCAATCAAAAAAACGGGCTGCAGCATCCCGGGAAACCCTTTGGCAAACCTACGGATAGGGTTCCGATCCCTTTTCATAAGGTTTTCGTTCAAGACCTGTATACCATTTACGCGGGCCCCCAACTGGAGTATGCAGCACCATTTTTGGAATCCCCACCTAGCCCAAGCACGCAAAAATTAAGAAAGTGAAAAGGGTTTTTGCAACAAGCCCTAGCCCCAGAGCGGGGGGAAATTGTCCTATGAAGAAAGGTTGAGGGAAATGGGGCCTATGACACTGGAGGAAAAGGGGGGTCGGGGAAAGACATGATAACGAAATAAAAAATACTGGGGCGGAAAAAAAGGGAATGGACAAAGAGGGGAAATTTTTTTCCAAACAGAGGGGAACCAACAGACACAAGGGGTCAAAATTTGGAAGTTGAAGACACAG